TATTTTTGATCATTTCTTAGTAGGCCTGTGAGTTATGTTCCACTGCTATGTGCTCTGACTAATGTGCTACCATGCTGTCTGATAGAAATGCCTGACGCTGAACGCCCACTCAGCCCCACTGCTGAAGATGAGCCTCTGTCAACTGACCCTGCTAAGTGGCCCTCACCTTGGACTGACAGGATTCGAACTGAGCTGGTTCGCAGAGGACCCAGTAAGGTGCCACCTGACTTTGTTTTCTGTCGGAATGAGAGTGATGGGAGAAGCTGCCACCACCAGTATTTTAAAAAGACACTAGTTAGTGGTGAAACAATGGCAAGAAGTGGGCTGATATATTCCATGGAGAATAATAGCCTTATTTGCTTCTGCTGCAAATTGTTTTCTAAGGGGAACATTCTTTTAACAAGTTCAGGGGTGACAAATTGGAAACATGCAAGCACTTATCTCACATCACATGAAAACAGTCCAGAACACCTCAATTGCATGAAAGCATTGAAGGAACTGGCAGTGAGGTTAAGAGGTGGGGAAACTATTGATTAGCAGGACATGGCACTTTTGGAGGCTGAGAGGGTTAGATGGAGGGCAGTGCTGACACGTCTGACTGCTATTGTGCAGTCACTGGCAGTCCGAAATTTGGCTTTAAGGGGACACACAGAAACACTGTTCACACCATCAAATGGTAATTTTCTCAAAGAGGTCGAACTTATGGCCAAGTTTGACCCCATTATGAAAAATCACCTTGACCGTGTTGTAAGAGGAACAGCAAATCACAACAGCTATCTAGGCCATCATGTGCAGAATGAGCTGATTGATTTGTTGAGTGGCAAAAAAATATCTGCTCTGGTGGATGACATTAAGCAGGCAAAGTTTTTTTCAGTTATTCTTGACTGCACCCCAGACATAAGCCACAAAGAACAGTTTTCAGTGGTCATTAGAGTGGTGTCACTGATGGAGAAGCCCCATATCAGGGAACATTTTATGGGATTTTTAGAGGCAGAGGAGTCCACAGGCCAGCACTTGGCATCCATGATACTGACAAGACTTGAGGAGTTGGGAATTCCTTTTGAAGACTGCAGAGGACAGTCATATGACAATGGGGCAAACATGAGAGGCAAAAATAAGGGAGTTCAAGCCAGGCTCTTAGAAAAGAATCCCAGAGCTCTGCATTAGGGGCACATTCTACTGCACAACGCCTGTTAACAACACCGGTTCGTCAGTCGCTGCAGCATGTCTCAGCACGGCATGGAAGGTACGTATGTTAGGGTGACCCTGATTTTACCCTGATAAGTCCTCTTTTGGGGGCTGTCCGGGGGAGTTTCTAAAATCCTTAAAATGTCCAGAACATGTATTCATTCATTATAAAACAGTGCAGTGCATCAGTGCTCTCTGCAGCTCTGCCCATCCAATCACTTTAACCATCGACATGATGCAGCATGCACTTCTGTCTTTGGGAATTTAGAATATGCGTTTAACTGAGTTAGAAGCGCATATAAAACACATTACCTTTCAAAAAAAAAAAAGAAAAATCCTCAAAATTTCACACAGAAGTCTGCCCAGCGTAGTGTCCTCTTTTTGGGGCTTGAGAATATGGTCATCCTAACATATGTTCTGTGTTTACATAAGCACAATGTTTGCCAAAAACGCTGTACAAATAGCATTTTTGATTGATTATTTTTAGACTCTGACTAAAGGTGGCATACAACTTTTTCTGTTATCAGAGACCTCATAAAATTTCGAGTTAACAGTGAAAACCTATGGTCTAGTTTCTTTTTTTTAATTAAAGAAAGGCATTAATAAGGGAATCGCTAAATAATCAAATCGATAAGCAGAATTGATAATGGCATCAATATTGATAAAATCTTATCCATTCCCATACCTAGTTCAGGGGCTTTGTACGTGGCTAAGAATGATTGGACAGCTGGGTCCGTCTTGGTCAGCTCCGCCCATTCGCACCCCCACATCACAACAACGCGTAGAACAAAACTGTTCTCCAGAGCAGCTACCTTGTTCATAAACAATCAATACAGCTCGCTGTAAGTGGCCTTGCAAACAGTATTGGTATCTGCCTGGACATCAAACCTGACACAACCATGAAAAAAACAACCTGTAAATTCATAACACGTCTTGGTAACTGCATTATACCCATCTACAAAGTACTTTCCTACTTTGTATTCACCGAGACTGGATCGCAATATTTGGGCCATGTATCCCAGCCACTGCATGGAGACCTCAGAGTAGGTTTTGTTGTGACTCACGTACGCCCCCTTGCACATGAGTGCCAGAGTGTCTCGGGGTAGACACAGCGTTTTAAACACCCCCATACAGCTAGACGTGAGAGTGGTACAGAAGAAGGGATCAAGTCAGGTACAACCCAGAAAAGTTTCACTGTAAATTGTACACGCCTGCCGTAGAACTTTCACATCATTAATGAAGTAGCGCATGATCTCTTTTTGAAAATCAAAAGTCTTATTATGAACTGTGTCATACCACCGCATAAAAACCTCCTTCTCCTCACCACTCTTGGTATCGTAGCCGTAGTAAAACGGTTCAGGGTACGGCCCGACATAGTACTCATTTTCCCTGGTGTTGAACCTGTGTGAAAAATAGCCTTTCTCGAGATCCGCAAACCCCATAGCAGCTGGCGTTTGAGACAGCCTCATGGGTAGAAAGCTGAATGAATCAATCCACCACTGTTTGTACGCCTTGTAAGGACAATCCTGCTACCCCTCATTGTCAGCTTAGGGAAGAGGCCGCTCTGCGCAAAGTATTCCAGCACAAGGTAGTTGTCAAAGCCGGAGGCATTGTATGCAATAAATGTGTAGGAGTGGTATTTGGGCCTTCTGAAGTGTTTAACAAACTCGGCTACACAGTTTAGAGTGTTAAAACAAAACTTGTTTCCCTCCATGTCTATATGACAAATAAAGTTAGCCTCATGCTTACCGCCATGATACTGTGTCTCAAATTCATAAAATATGTACTTTGTTCCGAGTTCTTGTCTTTTAAGGGGTTAAATAAAACAAGTGTGTGATTTATCCCTGTACAATGTATGTTCACTGCAATATGTGCATGCGGCTGCGTGGCACTGATAAGGTTTGTTACCTTTTTTGTAAATTCTCGAGCATGCATTGCAGTACTTTAAGGTGTCGCATGGTACAATGCCGTGTTTAATGCTTTTCAATTTGCGATTGTCATAACACCGTCTGGATTTACAGATTCGTTTGCATGTTTGACACATGGTGGTCTGGCACTGGGCAAAACATACATTATATATAACACTACAGTTGTGCCACAAAGGCAAAGGTCATATGTCTTGTAACAGTTGTCACAAACATGGGGTGCCTCGAAAAACCCCTGCTTGTTTTAAATCAGATAGTACAGCTCGTTGTGTAGATAAGGCCAGTGTGTGGGTGCGGATTGTCTTGTGTTTGATAATGCACCAGAAGCTTACGCCCTGGGCCGTGGTGAAAGACTATTATTTTTACATCTGAAAATGACACCTTGTTAATGGGGTGAAACTCGACGGCTCTGCAGAGCCGCTTTGCAAATGGATCTTTTACGCACTCTGTCATATCAGGGTGGACAGCATAGGCTAAACATATAGAGAAACAAAGATTATTTTCTGTGTTCACCGGGTTGTACAGATGCTTGCCCTGTTCATATGAAACACTACCCAATTTCAGGTGCACACCACCACTTCTTCCCCTCGCAACTGTAACTATAAACTCTATGGAAGTGTCATTACTCTGCATGGCCTGAGCAATTTCTTCTAAAAACAAATTAGAGCTGTATTTGTCACGTGCATGTAAAACCGCCTGTACGTCGCTACGTCGAATCCAACAAGGCACAATCAATCACGCTGCACTGACTATTCCTGACCCGTACAGGTACTTGATCCAGATTATCAGGGTGATTTCTCTCAAATCAATGCGTTGTCTTAATTCAATGGCATTGAATGGGGAGACGTCTCTGAAGTGAACACGCTCATGCCCGACGACATCATCTGTAGAATTAGAAGATGAGTCTGCAGACTCACCAACACCACCACCAACCTGATCTACAGGGAAGGCAACTCTCACTATTGATTTATTTACCAACAATTCACCAACACCTCTGCCGCCAACCACAGCTGATGCAGGTGGGGAGACAGCACTTGCTAACTAAACAAACATTATTTGTTTCAGAGGGTCCTTTGTCAACACTCACAGGATGTTCACCACCACCATCTGGTAACTGAGACACCTATCTTTTCAGCAGAAGCAGTTGTTTTGTCATCTCTGTGGCTATCGCCGCTACCTCACTAAACACATAACCAGGATTTGGTACACTCTTAAAATGAATGTGTTAAAATCATACACATTTTTTGTGTTATTATATTTTAACATTTAGGATAATAACATCCTGTGTTATTATCCTCGACACACTTTTGAGTTAATGTTATTTTAACACATAAAATAGTTATCATGTGAATTAAACACAACATGTGTTAGTCACTGCTAGGTCAAAGAGGTTATTAATGAAAACACCTGCCAGGGTTATTTTTAACCAAGCAGTGGCTTTATTAATTGTCCTACTTTGGAATAATAATGGAATCATCTTTTTTTTATAAATTCAGTAACTTTTTTCTTTATTTCTTTTTAATTTTTTGAGAGGGAGGAAGCCCCTCAGCAGGGGAATCAAACCTCCAAACACCCAGTCTCAGGGTGGACCACAAGGCCACTGAACTGGTATCTGAGACCAGATTCTTGAGTAGCACGGTGCCCTGAAGACAGGAGTATACCTTTCCTCACACACAGACGTGTGGTTCTCTTAAATGACTATGGTTTGGGTTGTACTATTTTAACTCAATAAAAATAAAATATTAAGTTCCATTTCGGGGGTATATAAATCCAAATATATAAGTCCCATTTCTGTAGGACCCCCAGCTGATCTGTCCACTTTACTCAGACACCTGGATGGTCCCTGGCTGGGTGACCCTGGGTCATGGAAGCTTGTAGCTCACCTGTGGATTGGAGCAATGCACTGAGAAAGTTGCCACATGAACCAGCTCTGGAAAAAAATCATGTTGTGTAATCCCTTCTTTGATCCTCCTGGGGGCAGCACTCGCCACTGCCTTTGATGGCTTTGAAATGCAACAATGGCAGCTGTGCTAACAGCTACAGGCTAATAATCAAGCTTGCTGAGGAGGTGGTCTGCACTCACACACACATTTACCATGAGATGTGTGTGTGTGAGAGGCACATTTACATTTGCAACTCAAACTACACGCCACGGGAGTAACGCCGTTGTAACCCAGCCCAGCGCACAGCCTCGAGCCGCAGGGGACGGTTGTTTGACATGCCATGTCTGTATTTTAGGTGTTCCATTGTTGCACTGATGGTTTAAGAATGAAATGTTTACAAAATGTTAAATGCTTATACTCTGTTTGCACTATGTTTTGCTCTCAAGTTTGCACTAAAGTCTTACAAAGTCCAAGATTTTGCACTGCTGCCTGAACTAAATAAATTTTATAAAAGTGACTTGAGATTCAAGCAATTGTTTATTCTTTTTAGTGACCAGAGGCCTGTACTACGAAGCTGGATTTGGTCTTAGTGAGATAACTTCTGGATAACTTCTGGGTTTTCCGTACTGCGAAGGTGGATCTCTTTTTATCCGGGTCCGTTGCCCCGGTAACTTACGCGGAACGCCAAACCTGCTCCGGAGCAGGTTATGTTTCAGGATAAGATCTCAGCAGGTATAAAAGACCGCCCACTGACCAATCGGATCTCTTGGAAAATGGCTTGCCCACTTTTGCTGGATCCCGGGGACATCGTTGCATGGATAGTGAGAGGAGCGCTTCACCGTGAGCGTTATATTCATGATCGTTCAAATTCGTTTGATTTACCCGATGACGTTCTCTACGAACGTTACAGGTTTTCCTCGGGCGGCCTCAATAAAGCATGAAGTCTAAGCAATGCACTAATATTTGTCAAGCTCCAGGTTCCAATTTCATGCAGCATATCAGTCATCATTCAGAATTTATTGAAGCAGATTAGAAAACTCCTCTTAACCCCAAATGTGTCTGCAGATGACATGACCATCAGATGATGAAGGGAAAAAAAAGGCAGTGTGAGGAAATCACTGTTTACGTGTTGAAATAGGTAGTTTACCACCACCAAAAGTATGACTGTGTGAGCGAATGAATGATGTATCCAATGTAACACAGTTGTGTGTAAATTGTATGAAAATAAAACACTTTTGTGTGAAGAATACATAACGCAGCTATGTGTAAATAGCATGAAAATATGACACAGCTCTGTGTTATCTTTGTGTAAACCAAACACAGTTGATGTGTTGACACATTTAACACACAACATGTGTAAAATCTATCAACACAAAGTCATGTGTCAAAACAACACATTGTGTGTTGTCCTTAACTAGACACACGGATGTGTTAAGAAATAACACATGATGAGTTACTTTTAACACATTCATTTTGAGAGTGTACCGCCACATAGGTAGCGTCACTGATAAAAGTAAACCGCCGTCTCCATACAGAACCATCATTGTCAACAACACGTTTGGAACCATCACCTGGTTTGAAAATTTTTCTTGGGGGTGCCATTGTGGTGTGTGTGTGTGTGTGTGTGTGTGTGTGTGTGTGTGTGTGTGTGTGTGTGTGTGTGTGTGTTTTGCTATATTTGACCTCTTATTTATTTATTTTTTTACCAGATTGTCAATGATCCTGTATACTAATGAGACTGAATGTAGTGTCTGTGCTATGGTATGTTCTAAATTTTGTGTGTTTTTGGCATGTAAATCAAGCACCTGGTTTTGTGTTTTCACAAGGTCTGATAAGATATCAACTGATCCTTGAAACTTTTCAAGTCTGTTGTTTATACAGTCTGAAAAGTTGTTGACACAGTCCTCAATACACACAGCTGAGGCCTGTGTGGCCTGCTCACTCCTGCTGGGTCCTGCGGCCAGAGTTATCCTATACCACGCAAGGCTGTGATTTAGACAACTCTAAACAAAGTCGGTTTAATTCCGACAGGCCCGATTGGGCTATGTTACGATCAACGCCTTCTAAAACACCCTCCCCATCACTACACAGAAATGTAGGTATTGTGTTTAAATAATCCCCACCTGCCCCGTTGATTAAATTTTGATTATCCTGAGGGTTGTCGATCGTGTTATTTTCATGTGCTTGACTGCTAGCCACCGCAGGAATCCGATGGATCACTGTAACCAAATCGTCTAAAAAGACAAGAATATCGAAATTGCTTTGTGGTAGCACAAGTGACAAATTATCCTCCTCAACTAGCCTTCGAATAAGGATAAGCCAAATTGGTTGTTTTGTTTACACGAATATTGACACACACAATTGTACACATTATGCATACCTTTTACATGGCTGCGGTGTCTTTCCTTTTGATTTGCGCTTTTAATAATAATAATAATAATAATAATACATTTTATTTGTAAAGCGCTTTTCAAAGACTCAAAGCTGTACAGAGTAAGCAGTAAAAACACACATCAATAAGTAAGAAAATTTACAGCAATATAATAAAAACATGTAATCAGGTAAAATCTAATGGGGGGGGGGGGTTAGGAGGGATGAAAGGCAGTGCGGAAGAGGTGGGTTTTGAGAAGGGTTTTGAATCTGGTGAGGTCAGTGCAGTTTTTGAGTTCAAGTGGGAGTGAGTTCCAGAGGGTGGGGGCGGCGACTGAGAGGGCTCTGTCCCCCCAGGTTCGGTGCTTGGTCAGGGGAACTGTGAGGAGGTTGGCATTGGCGGAGCGGAGGGTGCGGGAGGGGATGTAGGGGTGGAGAAGATCCTGTAGGTAGGGGGTGAGTTGGGTGAAGGAGAGGTTGCTGTCGAAGAGAATGCCAAGGTTGCGACAGTGGGAGGAGGGGGAGAGGATGGAGTTGTTGATGGAGAGATGAAAGTTTGTGACTGTGAGGGTGAGGGAGTTTGGGCCAATGATGATGAGATCTGTTTTTTTCATAATTGAGTTTAAGAAGATTGCTGTCCATCCAGTGTTTGATGTCAGAGAGGCAGTTTGAGAGGGAGCGTTGGGTCTGGGGGGTGATGGAGTTGGAAGAGATATATAATTGAATGTCATCAGCATAGCAGTGGAAGTGGAGGTTGTGTTGATGGAGGATGTGGCCAAGAGGGAGGAGGTAGATGATGAAGAGGAGGGGACCAAGCACCGAACCCTGGGGGACACCTTGGGACACGGGGGCGGTTGTGGAGGAGCAGTTGTTAATATGGATGAAGTGATTCCGGTCTGTGAGGTAAGAGTGGATCCAGTTAAGAGCGGTGTCTGTGATATTGAGGAGGGAGTGTAGGCGGGACAGAAGGATAGCATGGTCGATGGTGTCGAAAGCAGCGGAGAGGTCGAGGAGGATGAGGATGGAGAGTTGGCCAGAGTCAGCAGAGATGAGGAGGTCATTTGTCACTTTTATGAGGGCAGTTTCGGTGCTGTGGTGGGTGCGGAATCCTGATTGGAACTGTTCATATAGGTTGTTATTGTTGAGGTGGGTTTTGATTTGTGATGCGATGACACGTTCGAGGATTTTTGACAGGAAAGGGAGGTTTGAGATGGGCCGGAAGTTACTAATGTCATCGGGGTTGAGTCCAGGTTTTTTGAGGATGGGGGTGACAGCAGCCAGTTTAAGTGACGGGGGAACAGTGGCGGAGTTGAGGGAGGAGTTGATGATCTGTGTTATGACTGGGGAGATGACGGGGAGGCAGTGCTTGATGAGGGAGGATGGGATGGGATCGAGGATACAGGTGGATGAAGACATGGAGCAGATGATATTAGTCACGTCGGTTGAGGAGACAGGTGAGAAGCAGGAGAGTGCTGATGGGATGAGGGGAGGAGGGGAGGAGCAGGGAATGGAGGGTGGGGGAAGGGAGTTATAGATTGCATTGATTTTGGTTTGAAAAGAGGAGAGGAATGTGTTGCATTTTTCCGGGGTGAAGGTGATGGAGGTACTGTCTATGGGGTGGAGCAGTTTTTTGACGGTGGAGAAAAGAGCCTTTTGGTTGCTGGAGCCGGAGTTGATGAGGTTGGAGTAATAGGATGAGCGGGCGGATTTGAGGGCTGTTCTGTATAGGTGGAGGTGGTCGGTGTAGGCTTGGAGATGGACAGTGAGACCGGTTTTGCGATATAGACGTTCCAGTTGGCGTTTATGGGATTTCATTTTGTGTAGTTCTGAAGTATACCAGGGGGCAGAGTGTCTGAATGAAACTGTTTTTGTTTTGAGAGGTGCGAGCTGGTCCAGGCAGGAGGATAGAGTGTTGTTGTAGTAGTTGATTAGGTCAGGAAGTTTAGCAGATGGTGAGGGAGGGGATGCAGTGAGGGTGGCAGATAGGGAAGCGGAGAGGTCCTGTGGTGAGATGAATTTGAGGTTTCTGAAGGTAATTTGTCGTTTTTCACTGTGGGGCAGAGGGGGAGGTCGACGTTGAAAGTGACAGCCAGGTGATCTGATATATAGAGGTTGGTGGTGGAGAGATGGTGGATGGAAGATGCCGGTGGAGCAGACGAGGTCGAGGGTGTGGCCATGGGAGTGGGTGGGGGAGTGCACGTGCTGGGTGAGATTGAGGGTGTCGAGGAGATCCAGGAAATCAGAAGCTTGTTTGCAGGTGGGGTTGTCAATGTGAAAGTTGAAGTCTCCAAGCAGCAGGACAGAGGATGAGATGGTGTTTAGGTGGGTGACAAATTCAGAGAAATCCGAGAGGAATGATGGGTGGGGCTTTGGGGGACGGTAGATAGTAACAATGACCAGAGGGGTGGGGCCAGGGAGTTTGACAGAGATATTTTCAAATGAGTGGAGGGACAGGGTGGGGGCGGGGGTGGTCTTGAGGGTTTGTTTGTAAATCACTGCGACGCCTCCGCCTCGTCCAGTGAGGCGGGGTTGGTGCAGATAGGAGTAACCGGGGGGGGTGGCTTGGTTGAGTGGAAAGAGGTCGAGATGGTTGTGCCAGGTTTCAGTTAGATAGAGGAAGTCCAGGTTATTGTCTGTTATGAAGTCAGCTAGGATGTGTCCTTTGTTATTGAGGGAGCGGGTGTTTTGAAGGGCCATCTTCAGGGGAGGGGGCTGTGGGGTGGGCAGTGAGGCAGGGGGAAGGTAGCGGAGATTTGATAGATTTCTTGTCCTTCTTTTTGGATGCATGGGGTTTGAACGGGAGGTTCCAGTAGTTGTAATTGTTTTAATTGTTTGCAATGGTTTGCAAGGAGAGTCTATGGTTGAAGGGTGTAGTAGCTGTTTGGACCAGGAGGGGGAGCTTGATGTGGTGGGGGCAATGGGGATGGTGCGCAGTACCAGTTGGAGCCTGCTGGGGGAGCCGGTGGTGAGGGTGGTGAGGGCGAGGGTTCCGGAGGGGGGCCTCAGGGGGGCGCTGTTTCCAGGTGGGGTAGTGGGAGAGGATGACAGGGAGTATGTAAACAATGATAGTCAGTTGGTGTGTATGTGGTGTTGGATATTAGCGGCAAGTGTCTGATGGCCCAGTTTGTTTGGGTGAAGTCCGTCATTAGAAAAGAATGGGGGTCGGTTCCAGAACAGGTTAAAATTGTCTATGAAGTGGGTGGAGAGGGTGCTGCAGAGGGCTCGAAGCCAGGAGTTTAGGCTGAGGAGGCGGCTAAAACGATCGATGCTGCGTGTTAGTGTTGGAAGAGGGCCACTTATAAAAACAGTTTTGCCACTGCGCTCAAGGCTATCTAAAAGAGTCATGAAGTCTTTTTTTGTCTGTTCAGACTGGTGGTGAGCAGTGTCATTTGTGCCAACGTGGACAATGATGCGGTGAATAGAGGCAGGAAGTGATTGGAGAAGACCGGGGAGTTTAGCTGTGATGTCGGCGACAGTAGCACCGGGGAAAGAGCGAGTGATGGCATTAAAATAACGAATACCTCGTATGATGCTGTCACCGATGATCAAGGTGGTGGGGGGAAACTGCGGCGGGGGGTGCATTGCTCCTGTGTCCGAAGCAGGGCTGGTGGTCGGGGTACGGGGACTCAGCGGTGCGGTGGATACGGTGGATGCCAGCGGCTGCGGGGATGGTCTGCCACTTCGGTCCAGGGCAGCTGAAACGGGCCCGGCGGAGTTCCGTCGGACTGCGTCCCGGAGAAACCTCCTGCGGGCGGCCGAGGACGCGGGCCGGCTCTCCGAGCGGTGGTCAAGGCGGGTTCCGGGACACCGCGCGCGACCAGGGACCGACGGAGAAGGGTCCCCTCCGCCAGTGCCAGGCCACACGGGAATCCCACTGTGTGCCGGCAGGGAGGTGTTCTTAGCGCCAGCGCCCGGTGACGCCCGGGAGCTGGTTGCCAGAAGAGCGGAGGCTACCCGGTCCTCGAGCCGGCACGCCGCGAGGGCACCGGAGGGCCCGGCCGGGTTCCAGGGGGTGGTGTTAGTGATTTTCCTGCCGCGTGTGGTTATTTCAGTCCATGTTGAGTCGTGGTTGGATGCAGCGGTGGATGGCGGTTTGGACGTGGTGGACGGGCTTTGAGGCTCCCAGGGTAGCGTGTCCTGGAGGGTTGATTGGAGCGAGAATAGGTGGAGGGATTGCTGGTGGGCCACATCAATGCAGGTTGTGAGGAGAGTGGATTTTGACTTAAGCTCATCGGAGAGTTTTTGAATACGGAGTTTAAGTTTGGTGATTGTTTTGTTTGCTTCGTGAAGCGCTTCAGTCTTTTCCATGAGTAGGGACTCGCTCGCTCTCTCGCTCATGCTCGCTCTCTCGCTCATGCTCGCTCTCTTTTACTGCTGCTTGCTCACCCGTGCCACTTGAGATTAAAAAATAGAAAACACAGAAATGGTATTTAACAATTTTGCACGTTTCGCACCCCTCGAAGTGTACATGAATAACTTGAGACTAATCTTAAAAATCCTCATCCTCATCGTCCACAGTGATCGGGTATGCCCATGCCCGGAAATTGGCACCCGTGGGGTACCTAAAATAAGTAGGTTGTTAATTAGGTGATTACTGTCTAACAACAGTTAGACAGTAATAGACAGACCTGCATATCTTTTAATAGACAGTTTGCTTTTCGATTTGTACTTTTTACTCAGCTTATTCACCGATGACCTGTCACCTCTGGCCTTAAAAATAGATAAAGACATGATACATTGTTTTGTTCTTTGCATAAAAAATGTTGGTGTTAAAGATTTCGTTTTAAATATAAAACAGTAGTACTAGCTCACATGCATTTAAAAGTACTGTGGGGAATGTTTTCAGAGCCTGCGCTCAACCTGTTGGAGCCTAGTTGATGAATGCTAAGAAAATATAAGGTGACATTTTTATAAGGTGACAAGATACGACTGAAAAATTTTTGTATGATAAAGATGCTGTAGATGCTGTACATACTCGTTACAAGATCCATGGCAGAACAGGAATTTTTGATTTTGCGGGATAAAAAAAAACAAAAACTCGACCAAATTATGCTGATTTATACACACTTACCCAGGTTTGACACGTTCCCTTAGACGGTACCATGCACACCCATTTTTAACACATTCACATATTTTTAAACCCGATCAAACAAACACATGAAAAGATCAAAAACACGTATTTTTCACACACATCTGTTGCTAAAAACACCAAATCTGATCAGCATATGCAAAGACCATATGTTTGATACCAAGCACTTACTAAAAAATGACTTCTACTTTGATTTTTTTCAACATTTGCTATGCATTTTGCCTCTTCTGGTGAAGTGCGTTGATTTTCACCAAGGTTTTAAACCGAAAATAATTTCTGCCTTCGCCTTACACTGGCAAACTAGATTTATATCATAACCAGCAATTATGCCTCATATACGCTCAGTGCTGGCAATCAGTCTGTGGAGGGAGTTGTGGCATTAACATTATCATGACTTGCATGTCAGACCAAATGTTTTGAGAGGGAATTGGTGTCACCCTCACTAGAGACCTAACAGCAGGAGATCGTGTGTAACTTGTTGGAGTTGAGACTGTAGCACTCAGACTTAAATGAGCTTTAATGAAAGGATTTCACAAGAAACCTAATATTTCCTAAACAATGCTGTGTGTAGAGGCCATGTCACTCTATAACTGTGTGTGTCTGTGACGGCAGTGACCCTCCCCCAAGATGTAACATCAGTTTCCCCATCCCCCAGGATGTGACATCATCATGTCATCATCATTATCATCCAGGCACCTGCTTATGACCTAGATACACTGAATATGGTTGTGCTTAGATGCAAACACATAACCAGAGAACTGGGGCAACATCATGTAGTTGTCACAGTAGATGAGGCATTGTACTGTAGGTTGATGGAGCTGAAGTGGGCAAATGCCGACTACAGGGATTGTCTCATCGTCAGATTGGGTGGCCTTCACACTGCATTAAAATTTATGGCAGTCATTGACAAGCACATCCAATCATCTGGACTGTTAGAAGCATGGGTAGAGAGCAATGTACTTGAATTCAACACTGCTGAACAATTCATGACAGTGAAGTCCTATAACAAGGGAATCAGAACCTACAAAATCACTCTCCATCCATGTGGTGGATGCTTATTCCTGAGCTGCTTAGCTTCATGGGAGACAGCAATTTAGACCTCAAAGAGCAATTGGAGAGGGCCAAGACAACTGCAGAAGATCTTGTAATGTTACTTGCTTCCAAAGAGTTTGAAGCTGCCACAGAAGCCTACTTTTCAGCAAATGACAACCCAAACTTCAAATTTTGGTGGGGCTACATGCAGATGGTCCACATCCTTTTGTTGTTTATTCATACTCAGAGAGATGGGACCTGGGACCTACACCTTTATGCATTCCAGCGAATGTTGGCTTGCATTATGTGGTACAATCATACCAAATACACTCCCTGGGGGACGATTTACCTGAAAGAGATGCACCAACTTCCACAGCAAGTCAAGAGAGAGTTTGATGCAGGAAACTTTGTGGTCAAATGCTCATCACAGCGCTTCAACCAATAGCTGGGCAGATAACTGTAATAATCGTTCACTTGCGGATAAAAGCACCAATATTGTCACACATACTCCTTAGGAGTTGCTCTTTTGATATTTCCATCTGGCCAAATGAAAATTCAAGATGGCGGCCATTTTTCAAGATGGCCACCATTGAAAATACAGTAATATTGCATTTTGCAATAAAATCCCATAGACTTGTCCTATTTGGATGAACTTGGTGTCAAATCATACATTTTCCACTATGCAGAATCCAAATTTGGACCCATGGACTTACTTACTGGCTTCCTTGTACCATATTTCAGTCCCGGAATCCTAATATTCTGGTATTTATGAGGTTTAGATTAGATTCTTTGCTCACTGTTTTGCAGATATTTGGTCTCTTTTCCACTAACCTGCCCCAGACGCTGCAAAACATTGCAAACCATGATTTGGCTACACAGGATATTGAAGATGACCTGTTGAATGTTCCACAGAAAGGGCAAGATCAGTTGGATGCTTTTGTCAGGGAAAGGCTGATGCTATCTAAAGAGAGAAGTGTGAGCTTCAGGGACAAACTGACACAGGACAAGTGTTTGACTTTTTCCTCACTGTTTGAAGTGAAACAGTCAGATACCAAAACTGGGAAGGCAAAAACTTTCAAGGCACACAGGAACATCCTAGAGCAGGGGTTCTCAATGTAAAACGTCCAGAAAATAAATTTTGAGGGAGTCATAGGTCCACAGCGCGTGTGTGGCGGCGAAAATTCTTCTTTTTTTTCCTTTTTTTTGAATGTTTTTATGTAGTTTTAGGCTGGGTGTACTGTACTGTAATAATCAGGAGTTATTGGAAGGCGAATGAACTCAGTTAATTTCAAGGGTAGCTGACTGAGATACACACCATGTGACTCTGCATGTGCTGTGCAGCGATCCACCAATCACCTTTGTCCTTTACTCAGTTGCCAATCAGACTCAGTTCTCAGTTGCCAATCAGACTACCCTGCCAGCTGTCAATCAAAATCAGAGAGGAGAAAACCCACCCCTGCACATGTTCTGTACATGGAGTGAGACGCGTGTCCGCTGAGAATTACTTTCGGAACTTTACTGACTGTTAAGCCCAACAAATAAGAACTGTATGGGTTTTAAAATGTATATTTCCGTGGACCACTCTACTATAAGCGGTGCGCGTTTTGCGAGGTGCATGCTATTCTCGGAGGACATGCGTTTCTCGGCACAACACTGCTAACAACAACAACAACAACGATTGCAAAATTAGCAACAAACAAGAGAAAACCACCGAAAATTAAGATTTGTTGCCAAAAAGAAAAGGAAAGTCAGTTATCTGGAATTATTTCGGTTAAAAGAAGGATGATGTTGACCAAAACACGTGTTCTGTGTTCATCTGTCGCCACAATAACGTCCCAGCACAATAAAAGCTAAAAATATCTCTGAGACAGACAGAAGCCATTCTAACATTCACAAAAAGAGGTAAGATCAGAGCAGGTTAACTGTCCTCAAGACTTCAGCGGTGCAGCATAACATTAAATGCTATTCAGGTCATCTGGTGAAAATTCCTATATTTTTAATATCGCAATATATGTCGCAGGGTTGAAAAAAAATGCAATGTTAGTTTTTTCCAATATCGTGCAGCCTTACTCTCTTGCTTTGTGCCTGGTTCAGTAAACTGCACGTGCAATTTCAGCAAGGCATTACATCACTTGCTTACTTGCTTGACTTGTCAATCAAATCAGACCTCTTAGCCTACTCGACACACGAAGATTACCGAGCAATCCCGATGTTGAAAACTGTCAGGCGGCAGACTGAGGAGAAAGTTGTAGCAGCAGCTAAACATGTCGGCTTAAAAACCACGAAAGGTAGAGAATGAGAACAGGGTGTTTTAAGGCGAGTGGACCGAGTCATTTGCATTCATTTTACCCGCAGGAAGCACACAGCCACTTGAAAGTAGGCAGTTATTGGCAATACAAATGAAGTGAATATTTCAAAAGAGTAATGCACTGTAAAAAAATAAATAATTAAAAATCCCTGGACCCAGGCCTGCAGGCATTTCATTCAGGTGGACCCACTGAAAATTTATATGAAGACCCCTGTCCTAGAGTGTCTCATCACAGCCTATGAAGCAGGACTTAAAGTCAACCTGGACAACATAAGGATGCACGAACTGCCGATGGAAGGAGAGGTCCTTGAGTTGCTTCCAGGTTTCCATGCACCGACTGGGAGTGACTCAACATCATACATTTCAGGACACACGAAGAAATCCTGCAGGAATGTGTTTAGACAGCACAGCCATTTACTCAAGGGGCTTGGTGAAGGTCCTGAGCTTAGTGACTCCACCATCATGGATGCAAACGTGTTTTTCTGCAAATTATATAGTGCAAACAACACAAACAACGTCAATGAAGTCCGTTTGGGCATGTTTTTCGAGGGCATGACCATAAAGAGACAGCCACCCACCAGAGATGCTCTGAAATTGCACATTCAGTGTGTTGATTTCCAGACTTTGGTCTGGCGGCAGGCCCACTTGCAGTACCCGGTGCTGCCACCACCAGAATATGGGATGGAAGATGGAGTACGTCGTGCTTGTTCCTGAACCCATGCCGTTGCCTGCGGTTCCAGATGCCTGTGAGTAGCTAGTGACCTGTGGCTGCACAACTGGATGCAAGACAGTCCAATGCGGCTGTAAGCCGAACCCATGCACTGCATCTTGTTAGTGCCGAAAGTCAAGTGATCCTTGCATGAATATGTATTGCATTGAAAAAAATTATGTTATGCTGGTCCAATGAATGAATGGAGGTGAATGGGCCTGAGCCAGTTACTGCAATTTTAAGGCTCACAGTAACCTCTCACAAAGAAATAGTATGGGTATATCATACATTTCCTGAATCCTCAAAGTTTATTTAGTATTGAGTTTGTTGGGTTAGGGTCCTTGATATCCTTTGATCCCACAGGGATAAAAGAAATGATATATTTTGGAAAAAATTGTGGGAAAATGTGTGTGAGGCCATGTGACCTGTGTTTTTCAGAAGGATACAACCATGGGCTTAAATGAAAGGCTAGAAGGTTCCCTTTACAATGATACCAAGCAATCATATATAGAATTTTAACAAATAGGAAATTGATAGCCAATTCTAACTTTGGGTGATAAATCAATAGTTACGCTAATTAATCAATAATTATGACTTAACTGTAATTCTGCACTCACTAGGAGTGGGCTCTAGTTTGGCAGATAGCTAACAAGTCCCTCTAATAAACATGCAGGAGTCAGCAGGTACGTTGTGACATTTTGGTGTTTACTTCCAGAAGCACTGTAAAACTGTAACACAATAAATACAAATACAAAATCACAAATTATTCTCAACTCTTTCATACAATCAAACACTAGTCATTAACTGTCATACACAACAAGTGAAGTTTCTGTGTTCAACGTGACCACTCTGTGTCATCAACAGCTCCTCTTCCACATGGGGTCCCCCAGGGCTCAATCCTCGGCCCTCTTTTATTTGCCTTTTATCTACTCCCTCTTTGTTCTGTTTTTAGGAAACATGGCATCTCCTTTCATTTTTATGCCGATGATTACCAGATCTATTTTCCACTGGCACAGAACAACTCCGACTCAGTCCAACAACTTGCTGACTGCCTTAAGGACATTAAAGCCTGGCTTTCTTTTAACTTCCTCAGCCTTAATGAGAACAAGACTGAAGTAATGTTGTTTGGACCAAGTGGCGGCCACCCCCCCAACATCGACCTAGGCTCCCTCTCACCCTACCTAAAAGAGGTTGTCACTAATCTGGGAGTTAAGTTTGACCCTGATTTTAAATTTGAGAAGCAGATCAGCTGGGTGGTACAAAAAAGTTTTTATCAGCTACGCCAAATAGCGAAGGTGAAGCCCATTTTATCAAGACCTGACCTGGAAAAATTAATCCATGCTTTCATCACTACCCGTCTCGATTACTGTAACTCTCTTTATGTAGGGATTAGCCAGGCTTCCCTTGCCCGCCTGCAGCTTGTGCAGAACTCTGCTGCACATCTCCTCACCCAAACCTGCAGGCGTGAGCACATCACCCCCATCCTGGCATCCTTACACTGGCTCTCTGTACAGCACAGAATTAATTTTAAGCTTTTAATTTTTTTTTTAAAAGCCTGAACAATCTTGCTCCACCTTACATTTCTGAGATGCTCCAGCCTTATTGCCCACCCCGACCCCTAAGATCAGCCGATCAGCTGCTACTGACGGTCCCAAATACAAGGCTGAAGCTCAGAGGGGACAGAGCGTTTGCTGCTGCTGCCCCGAAGCTCTGGAATGAGTTGCCCTTGAAAATCAGACAGGCCTCCTCATTTCCTGTTTTTAAATCCCTTTTAAAAACACACTTTTACTCCTTGGCTTTTGATACTTTTTTTTTAGCATTTTAGCACTTGCTGTGAGCCTCCTTATTTATTTACTTATTTATCCCCTTGCATTAATGTTAGAATAATGTGCATAAATGTATATAGAAGTTATCATTATTCCTCATATTCTTGAGTTTACTACAAGTATAAACTGTTTTGACCTCTTGTTACACATATAGGAGTGTTTTCTAACTTCTCTGTCCAATAGCTTAATTACACAGCACATGAATGTTTCTTAACTTCTCTGTGAACTCGTTTCTCCTATCAGCAGGTGTGGGTGACGTATCCTCCGCTGTGAATCGTGGGAAGTAATAAGAGGAGGATACACTCTTATCAGAAGGAACTCGTTAGATGCAACAATTTGGCTTGACCTTCACATATTCACAGTTGTTCATTATTATGCTTTATGAGAGTGCTTACGTTGCTGCACATATTTTCCCCCACCCTTTAGAAACATTGTGTAACCAGGGACAACCCTAAATAAAAGAGGCCGGTCAGAAAAAGCACTCTCAGGGCTCTATTTTCGTTCGCGCCGGTGAGGCGGCGGAGGGCGGCGAGCCCCGCGCAGTTGTATTTTCATCTGGCGGAGCCCGGCGTAAGGCGAGTTTGGTATTTTCGTGGACTGAGTCGCACGGAGGCGAGCCGAGATCCGCCAAGCTGGGCGTGATGGCGTGGCAGGGGGAGTTGTTGACAGAATCAGCTGGCGCAGTGACATTTTCGTGCTCGCCACCGGCGTGTAACGTGCGCTGAAAGCTCGCCGATTCAAACCTGGTCAGCTTTCAGTGCAAGGCGGAACGCAGCTGGTCTGGTAGTATTTTGGTAGACCGGCGGCGTATCGACATACGTCACTGATGCCTCACCGGCAGGTTTCCACAGTGTCAGGCAGATTTCAGTGCAATAAATAATCATCAACAACTATTAATCTGAGTCAGCACATACATTTAGATCTATATCGATATATTCTGATCTATATCTGATCTGATGAGCGCTTTGGCACGCGTTTGGCACGCGTTTGGGCACACAACATGACCAAATCAATACAGCTGAAACTGCATCAAATTAAATTAAATATCTAGTAAATAAACACACATGATGAAGTTAACAAGATATGTAATGTGTCTCCCTCCTTTTCTTTCTTCCTCTTATTTCTCGCACAGCTCGACCTGGACACGTCTCCGTGTCCTCTGTCCGTCTTGCTTGCTGCTGCAGCTGAACAGATGATTTGTTTCAGTGCTCAGATGCGTGATCTACTTTAAGCCGACATACGGATATTATAATATTCAGTTTTGTGGGCCAAATTTATTTTATATGCCAACATCTATGAAAGAAAGAGCCAGGCCACGGAGCGCGATGCGTCATTTACGCACAGATGGTTCCGATTTTAATGCCATTTTTGGAGTTTATGTTGTGATCTGTGCGCTAAACCCACCTTTGTCACGTGAGGTTTGAATATATGCAACTTTATGTGAGTGTCTTTATTTGTGGAAAAGGGTGTTTGTCTTACCAGTGGGTCCAACATTACACACATCAAATCCATCTGTGCTCAGATGAGAGAGTGTGGAGGACACTTGTTGAGCAGCTGCCCTCTGTCGCCATCGTGTGGCATAACTGTCTTCAGACATCTCTCGATCTCTTTGACTACTTCATGAAAATAGTAATACGCCTCGCCGGTGGCGGGTTTAAAGGCAAGGAGAGGAGCTTATGTGATTGGTGAAAACAGGTCTCGGCTGTGTTAAATTTACTACACGCCCTCTCTCCTCCCCGTCTACGACTTATGCTGCTGGGAGGAGCTGAGTTAGGGAGGGGGGATACTTACGCCGGGCTGCGCGGCTCACCAAAATACCAAAATGTGCTTGGGAACGCCTTGTCAGCGCGGCGGATCTGATTGACGCTGCGCTTGCGGCAGATCTCCGGCGAGGCACCAAAATAGAGCCCTCAGAGTGGTATTGAGATAACTAAAAAAAGATCTCTGTCCATTCTCCTCGAGTATATACCATTGTCTTTCTCTTCTTTATATGTTTTCAGGTATTTGGGCAGGTTTTAGACCCAACAATTAATGTATTTCTGCTCACCTTATCTTGTTCTTTGTGTTATTTGTTTTTATGTGTCATTGTACAGCACTTTGGCTACCCTTGTGGTTATTTTAGATGTGCTATAGAAATAAAGTTGATTGATTGATTGATTGAAACACAGTCACCAACAAACGTGTCGAAGTTATCATAAACAGTCACTACCACGATCTTGCGATTAGCTTAATGCTAACGTTATATGGAAAACGCCATAGAACGGCCAACGCATTAGCATCGGTCCGGTTTTTAAGTTTCCCACGCCATCAAAAACAGATTCAGAATACAATCACAGGTACATTCAACAAGAGGAGGTAAGCATTACTTACAGACGTATGTCCCTTACAGGAAGTGATGGGACGTTTGAAGCCGAGGCTTCGAGGCGTACCGAGTATTAAGGGGGCATGTCTGACGAAGCCCCGCTTCGAGGCTTGCATTAGTTTGTTGAAAACCACGTGACCGGTGACAAACCAGGCCTCGCATTGCACAGGTAACGTGACTGGTTCATTTTGGTGTCGTTTTCCAAAATAAAAGCACAACACAAATGCAGCGCTTCGTGGGTTGTAGTAGGTGGTAGTTTGGTTCGCGCTTTCGTAGCAGATTTTGGATTGTAATCAGCAGTAGTGGTCATTAAAAGCATGGAGTTAGTTGCAGTAGAAGTAGTGGTAGAATTAGTAGTAGTTTTAGTAGTAGTAGTAGTAGCTGTAGCAGTAGTAGCAGCAGCAGTAATTAGTCGTAGTAGAAGTAGTAGGAGTAGTTAGTGGTAGAAGTAGTTTAATGGAGCAAGCAAGGAAGAGAAAAACTTCTCCCGTGTGGGAATATTTTGAAATGGCCTCTCCTAACAAGGTTTGTATAATTTTTGTGTAAATGGTTACTTTATTGCTGTATTATGATAATTAGCAATAATTTGTTTGTCATTTTTGTTGCACACTTTTGTATGTTAGGTGAAGTGTTTGCTGTGTGCCAGAGAGCTCGTGTACAATAACAATACCTCATCAATGCTGAGGCATTATCGAGCCATACATAAGGGGGCACAGCCTGCAAACAGGCCAGACACCAGCCAAAGTAAGACATTATTATCTGGTTTTCAATAATCAAGTTATACTAGATATGTCATCAAATACACCAACACTGTAGCATTTTAATAGTTTGCACGTTATGTTGATTATTATTACTATGATTATTATTTTCACAGATTCCAGAAAACAAGAGCTGGATAAGGCTGTGGCCAACCTGGTCATAAAAGACTCACAGCCATTTTCTGTAGTGGAAGATGTCGGGTTTAGGGAGCTCATCCATTTGTTGGATCCCACCTATGTTCTCGCTACTCGAAAGGTGTGTATGTGTACCTAACAAAAGCAACTGTATTCATAATAATCAGAATCAGAATTCTTTATTGTCATTGTACCAAAAGGCACAATGAAATTAAAAAAATAGCAGCACTTGCAGACAGTGCAAAGGTATCAGTAAAAAAATAATAATATAGCACAAAATAACACAATATAAAAATATAAAAATATAATTTAAGTAAAATATAATTTGAAAAATTGTGAAAATGAATAAAAACAACCAGGATATTGCACTCAAGACATTCAGGAGTATTGTACTTGATATGACACAAAAATTCCCTATTTCACAGTATTTGGCTTATTTATCCATGGAGGAGTCTGCAGTGTTCAGGGCAACGACAGCTCTTGGGTAAAAGCTGTACTTTAGTCTGTTTTTGTCTTTATTGCCCTGAAACGCCTCCCTGAGGGTAGGAGTCCAAAGGGGTGGTGGCCGGGGTGTGAGGGGTCCCTGACGATGCTGCAGGCTCTCCTGAGGCAGCGGGTGTTGTAGATCTCCTCCAGGGATGGAAGAGGGCGGCCAGTCAGTCTCTGAGCGGTGTTTATGACCCTCTGGAGCTGCTTCCTCTCTGCCGTAGTGCAGCTGGAGAACCACAGCGCGATGCCATGGCTCAGCACTGACTCCACCGAGCAGCGGTAGAAGGACACCAAGAGCTCAGTTTTTATGTTGCTCTTCCTGAGGATCCTCAGAAAGTAGAGTCTCTGCTGTGCCTTCCTCAGGATTGAAGTGGAGTTTGCAGTCCAGGTCAGGTCTTCACCGATGTAGGTACCCAGAAACTTGAAGTCTGGCACAACCTCAACCCTTTCCCCGTTTATTGTGATGGGTTGAATATCCTGTTTACTCCTTCTGAAGTCGACAATCAGTTCCTTAGACTTGGAGGTGTTCAGGATGAGGTTGTTGGAGGTGCACCAGACTGACAGTCGTTCCACCTCCACTCTATAAGCAGTCTTATCTCCTCCAGAGATGAGCCCCACCACTGTGGTATCATCTGCAAACTTGATGATGGTGTTTTTTGGGTGAGTGGAGGTGCAGTCATGGGTGTGGAGGGTGTAGAGGAGGGGGCTTAGCACACAGCCCTGTGGAGAGCCGGTACTGGTGCTCAGTGCTGGGGATAGGTGGAGTCCTACTCTCACCCTCTGGGAGCGGTCTGTCAGAAAGTCCAAAATCCAGCGGCAGATGTTATGGGAGAGACCCAGGTCCTCCAGTTTGCTCACCAGTCTGTTCGGAATGATAGTATTGAAGGCCGAGCTGAAGTCCAGGAAGATCAGCCTCGTGTAGCTCCCTCGCTGTTCCACATGTGTCAGCGTGGTGTGCAGAGCGGTGGCAATGGTGTCCTCCGTAGACCGGTTGGCTCTATATGCATACTGGTGGGGGTTGAGTGTTGGTGGCAGGCACAAAGTGATATGACTCCGAAACCAGTTTCTCAAAGCACTTCATAATGATGGGGGTAAGTGCTACTGGCCGGTAGTCATTGAGGCTACTGGTGTTGCTCTTTTTTGGCAGAGGGATGATGGTGGAGGACTTTAGGCAGGGTGGGATGGAGCACTGGGTGAGGGACTGATTAGCTGGTCAGTGCAGTCCCTCAGCACCCTCCTTGTCACACCATCAGGTCCAGCAGCTTTACGGGGGTTCACTGCCCTCAGGGTTCTCCTCACTTCCTGTACCTGCACAGAGAAGATCTGACTGCGTAGGGATGTCAGCTGCAGTGAGGGCCCTGCTGGTGGCTCTGCCTGGAAACGGGCGAAGAAGTGATTAAGCTCCTCTGCCAGTGAGGCATCCCCGGAGATTGTGGTGGTGTTACTGGATCTGAAGTTGGTGATGTGCTGGACCCCTTCCACACCTGCCGGCTGTTATTGCTGCTGAAGTCCTCCTCGATCCTCTGCCTGTAGACTGCCTTGGCCTCTCTGATACAGTCCTGCAGCGCCTCAGTGGCCTCCTCTCTTAACATACCTCTTAACTCCATTAACTGAAATGAATATATAACGTCTCCCGGTCAGGCATTAAAGAAGCTGGTGGGTGAGAAGTACACCAAAGCCAAGGAAAAGGCCGAGGAAGATATTCTGAAGGTGTCTGCTGTTACATTGACCGCAGATATGTGGACATCGATGAGTATGGAGGCCTACCTGGCCATCACCTGCCACTTTATTGATTTAGTTGATAAACTCGGCACTGTGTTGCTTGGTGTAGAGCATTTCCCTGTGAGTCATACATTGGAGAATTTGGCACAGGCAGTGCGTACTCAGATGGAGGAGTGGGGAATCACTGACAAGGTGAAATGCCTTGTCACCGATGCGGCATCAAACATGATTGCATGTGCTAGGGCTTTACAAATAAGGCACTCTATCTGCATCGCTCATGGACTTAATTTGCTTGTCCGCAAATCTTTGACCAGATCCCAGCCTTCTCTGAAATCCACACAAAGGTAAAAAAAAATAGTGACCTATTTTCGTACAAGCACCTCAGGTAAAGCAAGACTGGATCAGGTTCAGGTGCAGATGGGAAGACAGCCACAGAAGCTAATAATGGAAGTAGACCCTCGCTGGAACAGCACCTTCCTCATGCTAGAGCGTCTATTTAAACTGAGAGAGCCAGTGGTGACAGCTGTTGCAACATTGAAAAATGATCTTAGCCCACTGACTTCTCATGAATTTGAGACAGTTGAGCAGAGCTTTCCTGTATTAGCCCCATTTCACCAAGCAACAGTGGAGCTCTCAGAAGAGAGATGGGTTTCAATATCTAAAGTCATTCCCCTGATGAAGATGCTGCATCATGCAGTCTTGGGAAAGTCAGAGCAGCTCACCAATGATGTGGCAAAGCAGCTCTCTGACAACCTAATAAGGCATGTTAGAGAAAATGTAGCCAACAATGAGTCTCTAAGTGTGATGACAATGGCAACCTTGCTGGACCTAAGATTTAAAACCATTGGATTCCTGAGTCACAACAGGTCACAAGAGGCAGTACGACGACTAAAAGCAGAATGTTCAGCAACCATAAGCAACACTGAAGTTGTTCAACTTCCAGGTCCAGCAGAGGCAGCTGAAAGTACCAGCAGCTCTGGTAGGTTTTTATTCATCCTGTAAATTGCTGTATTTCAAACCTTTCAAGTGTTCCATATGATCATTACAAATCTGTGTTTTAACTATTTTTAGGTGAACTGTGGTCTCTGCTGGATGAAACAGTGGATCAGAGAAGAAGAAGCTCCAATGCCACGGCAGATGCAATCGTAGAGGTGAAGCGGTACCTCACAGAAAATAACTTGAGGAGAAACGAGGATCTGCTGGAGTACTGGCGTACTCAAAAGCATATGTACCCTCTTCTGTATCACATGGCACTGAGGTTTTTATGATCCCCCGCATCATCAGTGCCTTGTAGTCCCCCCCCCCCAGAGGCAGTGAAAAATCCTCTTCTTAAATAAAAATGATTACCCCCCCAGGTCAACGTTTTGGACTGTGTCACTCTGCTGCAGCTATAAAATTTGCACATACCCTCATTTTAATTTATTATAATGTTTTAGGTATTTATTCCAATTAAACATAAGATATTTGCTTCCAATATGGCTGCTGATAAATAGCAGAAATATACTGCAGTTCAGTTGTATTTATTTCCACAGATAGAATCAAAATATATATATATATATATATATATATACATATATATATATATATATATATACAGTATATATGTGTGTTTTTACTTAGGAACAAATTCTTATATACTTATATATCCTTATATACCACCTATTAAAGACAACTTACTATACTACTATACACTTTAAAGTATGGGATACAACTGGGCTCAGATAATAGCAAGATCACTATCCTACCCCCAGCCCGATCATTCATCCAATGCTATTTAATTCCTGTGTGATCTGTACACCTTCCAGAAGACTAAAGCCCCATCTTCCTTGGCTTGGCTCTCCCGTGCTGGCACATCCTGTCAATTCAGGTGCAGCTGTTTAACTTTAACTTGGGGCAAGCTAAACAGCATTTAGGAAACTAGACAATTTATTTAGACAAATTTACTAGCTAGCATTGAACCCCATGCTGAGTCTCACAGCTATAGTGTCAACCAGTGTGCATACACACACATATATATATATATATATGTATGTATATCTGCTTCTAATTTTACAGGTATTTACCGGTGATTAAAGGCCATGTTAACAGCTCAGTATTTGCAGATGTATCAGACACTGACAAATGTGGTAAATATTCATGTTTACGTGCATTTTTGAAGAAACTGTTTTTTCTGTTGGCACAAAAATTGTTTTAAGAATAATAATAATAATAAGAACTTTATTAATCCCCGAAGGAAAATTCAATTGTCTGTTGTCTCACATAATATATCTCCAGAAGTTATCTACTATTTACGCGAAGAGAGAGGAGCTGTCCACCACCATTGGCCCTTTGGTCCATCAAGGTGTTGTGAAGTTAGTGATCCATGTTCTTTATAATATTCTCCGCCTTCCTCAGTGTAGATCTCTCAACTACATCCTCCACTGAGCCCAGCCAACCACAGAGCCAGCCTTTTTCACCAGATTGTTAAGACGTCTTGCATCTTTGTGTTTGATGCTTCCTCCCCAGCAGACTGCAGCGTAGAACATAACACTTGCCACCACAGACTGATAAAACATCTGCAGCATCTTACTACAGATGTCTATTGATCAGAGTCTTCTCAGGCAAAAGAGGCAGCTCTGCCCCTTTCTGTAGATGAAGTCTATATACTTAGACCAGTCCAACTTATTATCCAGATGTACACCTAGGTATTTATATGATGTCACCACTCCAATGTCCACTCCACAGGTGTTCACTGGCTGAAGAGGGGGTTTGGAACTACGGAAGTCTATGACCATCTCCTTTGTCTTTAAGGTGTTGAGGAGGAGGCAGTTTTTGTGAAGTTTTTGGTTGAAGCTCTCAAAATTTCAAATCATCATTTGCTGTCTTATTTTGTACAAGAATCATCTATTTAAAAATCCCTTTCAAAACCATCTTTGCAAGTCCAACATTTCTGATGCTCAGGAATTGTTAGAGCTCCTGTCTTTTCAAAAGAAGTTGTCTCTACCATTTCCACTGTGGAGGTTCAGTCCCTCTCCACAACAATGTCCTCCTTTTCTGGTGGTAATGAAGTCATCTGGTGTATTGGACCATCCCTGCTGACAGACTTGCAGTTTCCACTTATCCTGCAGCTATCACTGTTGAAGAGTGTGATATTGTCCAGCAAAAAATATCACTCACATCCAGTGACAACACCCATGGTTCACTGAGTGGTCCCATTGTCAGTGTTAAGGATGACACGCAAGATTTTTCTACAAATAAGTCCTTTACTCTTTCCCATGGTCCCATCCACTCCAGTGCATCTGGCAGCAGCTCATCTGGTACATCCTACAGATTAGCCCCAAATGCCCTTATGAATCTTTCTTACTGTATTTGTTCTTACAACATATTAAAACTGTGTTGATATTGTATGTTTGCACATCGACTCTGTTCATCATAAAAGTTTTTTTTTTTTTTTGTCATTTTTTACAGTACATACCTACGCCTGTTTGAGTTATTAATATAGTGCCTTCTTATACTGCTGGACTTATTAAAGGTCCCATGGCATGCCAATTTCACACAACTTCAAATCAGTTGTTGGGGTTTTATACTTGGATTTCAGCGCCGCCTTTGACCTTTTAGACCATGATCTACTACTCATGAAACTATCTGCGTATGGATTCAAAGACTCATCAACTGATTTATTGAAGAGCTATTTAATGAATAGGCAACAATGTGTTAGCTTCAAAGGGTCCCTTTCAAATGTTGAGACACTTCAATGTGGAATTCCTCAGGGAAGCTGCCTTGGCCCCCTCCTCTACTCTATTTTTGTAAATGATATGCCATATGTATTAAAAAAGGCAGGTATGGCGGTTTACGCCGATGACACAACTTTGTATGCATCGTCAGAGAGCATTGAGGGTGTTAATGAGGTGCTTCAACTAGAACTAGAGCTGGCCAGTGAATGGATCATGGAAAATATGATGATGCTTAATATTAAAAAAACTAAATGCATGGCTATAGGATCCAAATACGCTTTCAGGACAGATAAGACATTATGCCTCTCGCTACATGGTGCCACCATTGAGCAGGTTAAAGAAGTGAAATTATTGGGTGTTACTATTGATGAGACACTGTAATGGTCCACTCAGATTAATAATACAGTGGCCAGAATGAGTAATCGCATCTATGCCATTAGAAGAAGTGCTCATCTGCTAACTAATAAAACAATTAGATTAGTTATACAATCTCTAGTTCTGTCAAACCTGGACTACTGCCCTGTTATCTGGTCCAGTGCATCGAAGCAGGAACTTTGTAAACTTCAGTCTGCTCAAATCAGAGCGGCAAGGCTAGCACTTCAATGTCCTATCAGAAGTAGAGTGGATACTATGCATGCCAGGCTGTCATGGATGCGAGTGCATGAAAGACTGGCATGCGGCCTTATTCTGTTTTTAAAAAATCTGTATTCCTCACAGAAACCCCTTTGTTTGTTTTTTTAAAGGTAATACCTGCAAGCGAAAGACTTGAATATCATACTAGGCAAGCACTAAGTAGTAACTTTGCTTTACCTAAGCCCAGAACCAATGCACTTAAGAAAACCGTAATGTGGGGTGGTCACATGACCCAAACATGATGGCAGCCTAAGGGAAGAGCTCTAGCCACTCGCGCATAATTAATTTTGCGGACTGTAAGTCATTATTATAGGTCTGCAACCTGTCCTGATAATGTCAAAAACTCGGCCAACGAAGGAGTGCGACATTTTCACTCGAGCACGTAAACCGACCGCGACTGCGACCAGCCCATCATCACCTGTTGAAGCTAACGCAGGTAGCATGGCCGACATAGCCACAGTGCTAGCAGAGCTGAAGTCACTTCGCGCAGACTTTGGTCTGAAGTTGGACGTTATTAAAAGTACTCTTTGAGATGTGACAACAACTATAACAGCACTAGAGGAAAAACTAGCGGAGGTTTCACATGATGTATCGGCGCACACTAAGCGTTTGGACGAGGCGGAGGGCCGGGTGTCCGAAGTGGAGGACGTGCTCGCTAAAACACAGGGGGAACTCGCTTCAGCAGCGAAACGACTGACATATCTGGAAGCCAAAGTTGACGATCTTGAAAATCGAGGTAGGAGGAAGAACTTGCGATTATTTGGCCTCCGAGAAGATGCCGAGGGTGCACGTCCTCTGCTGGATTTTGTTCGAGAAATGTTGCCGAAGTGGCTGGGACTCAGCCCCGACCAAACTCTGGATTTGGAGAGAGCGCATCGCACGCTGGCTCCAGCGAGACCTAACCAACATCAAGCTGTTCTGCTTCGTTTCCTATAGTTCCAGGACAGGGAGACCGTCTATTGTCTGGCATTCCTGGGGGATAGCCAGCACTGACATTCGTGCAGGACCTATCAGCGGAAACCATGCGGAGACGCCACGAGTTCACCACAGCCAGAAATCTGTTCACGGAGATGGGGATCTTCAGAGGATTCCAAGTTAACCCCTGCAAACTGCGAGTGGTCCATAACAAGAAGATTTTCCTTTTCTCATCACCTCGAGAGGCTGAAGATTTCCATCGGGACATTCAGTCAAAGGGATGAACACTATTCCATGTATATGGACACTCAGGTTTGATCACAGTTGTTGTGAACCGATGGGTCAGTACTAGGTTTACAGCGGTATATCCGTTTTATTAGTGTTATGTTTACAAGAATTAGGACTGTTCAACTCCAAATTATTAGCTTTGATTATATAAAAGGAATGGGAAGCAGGTCTGGCCCAATTGTATCTTTCATTTATTTCAATTTAAGATGGCACCATTGTGAAAGGATTTTAATTTGCCTTCATATACTCAATTTTCCAAAAATCTCTGTTAAATTAAAAATCTAAAGAGAGAGAACTTTTTTTAAAATATTTTATTATTTATTATTATTTTTATTATTATAATCATTGTTTTAAAGTACTGTTCATTTATTTGTTCATCTATTAATTTATTTTATGCTTTTTTCATCTTTGTTTTCTTATTTATTTATTTTTCGTAATTATTTATAATTCGTATTTATTATTATTAATATTAGTTTAAAGAGGTCAAAATCCTAGACCTAATGTATCCTTTGATACTTGATAAGAGTTATATGCCAGAATCTTATAGTACCGAATGTTCGTGAAGAATAAGCTTTTATTTGATTGATGTGCGGTTGGCGACGAGCTTGAACCCTCACACTGTAGGTTTACGTAGACTAGTTGCCCCTCATGTAAATGTGGATCAGCGTGCCCCAGCCACTTTATTGTACTTTGGGAAATGGGGGCAGGAATGCACATGT